AGCAGCAGAGGACGACTTTCTGAAATCAATACTTGTGTCATTAGTTTTTGCTACATTTAGCAGGATGAAGGAGTTGTCGCGCCATAACACAAAGTCCTCCTCCACGGGTCAGTGATCTTATTCCACCCCATCCATGTAGGCTGACTAATAACCAAATCATCAGCATATTTTATTATGTGTCTGTTCTCATCATTACTTTGACAGTTGCTCCTGTTAATAATATATAGAAGGTGAGGGAGACCTTGTGGGGATCTGAAGAAGGATTTGAAATAAAAAGAGACCATTTGCAATCACTGAGACCTGTTGGTTGAAGGAGAGGTTCACATTAGAGGGACTGTAGGTATATACACATAACACGTGGGTGCAAGCAGCACTTGCTAATTGTCCCATTGTGCCCGGGTGTCATTTCATAAAAAAATTAAACGATTACATTTAGGTGTCATGGAATATATAATTTTAATTGTTATTATTGTTGTTGCAACGCCACAAGCATGCTTATACACACCAAATCAGTCATAGAGAGAAAGTCAGTGTTGCTAACTTGACCACTTTCTCACTAGATTTAGCAACTTTTCAGACCCTCTTAGCGACTATATTTAAATTTAATATTAAATATTATTTCATATTAAAAATATTAAAATTTAGCAGCTTATTCAGACCATTAGGGCAAAGGTAAGAAATGTATTCAAATATATTATATTATAATCAGAGTAATCGCAGTCTTCTGCCAACAGCACCGGGGTCTCTACCTCTCCTCTTGTGCAGGTAGTCAGTAGGTGTGCCCTCTGGTGTACGTTGAAATCAGTTTTACCCTTTCTCTCAGAAAAATAACTTAAATTTGTGACAATGGTAGTTAAGTCTAAGACAGCTGAAAATAGAATTTGGGACAAAAAAAAAAATCATTTTGAGCCCTAGGTGCAAGGCCATTGGGATTGATGTATTTTTGCTAGAACTTTTATTTTGAAGTTATCAAATTGCTATTTGTTTTGATATGTGCAGAGCATTGGATGGCTGACCACACCTGTCATCTTAGAGCCTATTGACCAGAAGAAGATCTGACTGGGATCGAAAATGTTGTCCATTTAAATAAATTTGTGGTTTGGAGTCAATGTGCATGCATTACACTTTTCATCAATAAAAAGAATTGTGGGACATTTTGGGAAATATGTTTCTTGCTGAGAGTTAGATGACAGGATCAATACCACTCTCAGGTTTTGCTGTGAGGCGACTGCTCAACATCTGCAGTCACCTGTCCTGTTGCTTAATTTACAGACAAGATTATCTGTTCTGTTCTACTTCTGGGCATTTTTCTCCCCTTGTTTGTCAGGGAATCAGTATTATACAGTGAACCATTTTATGCAGTGTTTGTGAGCCTCACATATCTCATTTACAGTGAAGGTCATGCCTTTTCCTGTACCATTACTGTCCAACTCCCTGCAATCAACAGGAAGCATTGTACAGCAGGGCCAGTACTGTCATAAAAATTATGATCGTTAAATATTGCAATTTGCAAAACAGATGCATGTTTGTACGTGATATTAAAAACGTGTAGTCTTTGAGGGGAACAACACAGTGTGTGAACAGGAGGGCCCGTGCTGTGATTATACATTAGCTCTTAAAAACACAACAAGTTAAAAGAATCTGTAAATGTTAGCAAGGTATATAATAATAAATGAAAAACCTGCTTTCCCGGACTCTGAAATCAAAAATGAGTAAGAATATCAAGTGGTAAATCTGCCACTGTGCGATAACGGAAAGCTTGACAGAAGCGAATGATCGATTAAACCCAAAATGCCATCTGTTTTTCGTGTTAATCAGTTTTACCTTGCCTATTTGTTATCAGATTAGATTGAATAAACGTGCAGTCACACAAGAGAAGTAAAAACTACAGAGAGGCTTGGTACTGTGCGTATGGCTGCCTTTGTCATAAAATGTATGATTTTTAAATATTACAATTTGCAAAACAGATGCATGTTT